TTTGCAAGCAGGTGTGGTCTGTATAGTACTTAACCTTTTACCTATTGAAAAGGAAATGGAACCTGTGGGGATCCTGTTCTTCAGTAGGCATAAACTCCTTACCGAATGCAGTTTTGGATGAAAAGATGTTATTATTCTCCAAACTACACAACAGCGGACAAAAAAGGACAAAGCCTCACAGACGACATACAATCCCCCAAAAAGAACATCTACCTACCAAGTTACGCAGCCGATGATAAAAAAGCTCGTCGAAAGGACCAAATTCCTGTTATTTCCACCTCTCGTTGCATTTACGCCTTCGCTTTCAGTTGTAAGGAAGCATTCACAGGGTGAACCGACAATACGTTGGTCCTAAGAATAACCGGATACATCCCGAAATACATGGTGTGTGCGATGACTCAGTCGATCAAGCTGAGCATAAATGATCACCACCGGATTGAGAGCGGCCACAAGGTCAGACTAAGCTACGCTTTCTCCGTCAAGTTACGTCATTGCAATTCACATCGGTTGTCGATATATCGATCGATCACCCACTTTGGGCGAACCCTGGGCATCGAAAATAGCTGGACACTATCTCTAAATCCGTCCAGGCCTTAATCCATGGCCTTCGGTTTTCTTATTCAAATGTTTCACTGCAGCTGCTTAGCATTTACTGTCCGAGTGTAATACGCTTGAGACCGATGAGAGTATACGAAATGATTTCTTATCTTAGCATTATGTCCACCATCATTTATGTTCCCATTTATCCCAAAAAATCAACGTTTCAAGGTTAGCATTCTCCCCGAAAAGATGACTCCGGGAACAGCTAATGCAGTTACCAGTGATTTAAGCCAGATGATTGGTTCACAAACAGTTGAACAATCGCACTTATCAAGCCAAAACATTGGTTGCTGAATTGTGATTTCAATTTTGGCGGCGATGATCACGTCATTAAGGTCATCTGAACAACTTCGGGGAGACTAAAATCATTCATCCTTCCCATTTTGTTTTATTGTCCACAGCCAACCTTTGATTGACCGCAGCATCCTTCGTTCAAATTGATCACATATTTGCATATTCAATAGATAAAGCGGAGGAACTATTTAACAGTCCTTCAATACCCATGCCTTTTCACAATAACTGAATCCCATCTATCTCTTTGTGTCGCTCCAGTGCCTTCTTTCACTATTCATAATATTTAGTATCGGTCGAATCACGTAACTGGGACTTGTCATCAGAATGCTTGACTGCATAACATATGATTTGTAGGAAAACCCAATCGAATGCCAACCAAATGGATATTGTCCGCAACAGAATCTTACTTGAACGTATACTGAACATTTGGGATAATCGTAATTTTGTTGATATATTCTTTTTCGGTCATGATAACGACTCTTTGTTTACTGTCTGGTTTAGGCACCAATAAATGTGAACGAACACTTGAGTGCTCAGTGTTCAGAAACACGGAATAGATTGATGACAAAAGTTGCTGTGAAATGTTTGTAGAGTCCGCTTCGTTTAAGACCGCATAGCGAATTCAAGTGAATCCGTTGTAACTTCAAGTGAATCCGCCATAACTTCATGTGACGACCTAGATGATCAAACGTAGCCGAATTATCGAATTTGTGGTCAATAGATTTTGGCAAGATTGTGCTTCAACAATGGTCAGCTGACAGTGAAAATATGAACGGATACTCGACCATCAATCATTTATAATTGGGCCCGTGATGGATAAGTAAAACACGGACACACAGCAACTACGATCTACAGGTCGAAATACTGATGACATGGCACGTTTCTACCCCAGACCGGTAGTGAGGGAACTGAAATATCACCATGATCTCAGTAATGAGTCACGATAGCAAAATCCTTAAAAACGGAACACACTTTTTTAGCTGACGCCTTGTTCAGTGTAGGCCTAATTCTATCAGAACCCCGGGATAACGACAGCACAAACGTTCGAACGAAAACAGAATAAGACACGTCAAGCCAAATGAGAGGATAATGGAAGAGTGAGCAAACGTGCGGAAAATGGAAGTAAATATGCGGTGATCAAAGAAGTAAGCTTGATGTGGGAAAACAATGAGATGTAAAAGAGGTACGATACATGTAAAGAGAAGGTAGTCTATGTCACCAGATGAGCATTTATTGCAGAAGAAAAACTGGTTACGAGTGATTCGCTCTAAACGCTCTGTTGAATAAAAGTATTCCATAAACCATGAGGTAATTCCACCCCTTTCGCTCCGGACAGACGCTTGACGGCGACAGGTCACTCGATCGTTCGTGTAATCGCTCACACTCAGCTTAAACAAATATCTTGTGAATACTTCCGAGATTTGAAACCCAGTGATAGTGCTTCTGTTTGGGCTATGGCCTTCGCTGACGATTAGCAATTTTGTTTATTGAACAGCACAGTGAAATTCACCGATCACTGAGCCATTTTATCCGGTCAGAAAGTTAGGCATACAGTAAGGTCTGCGTCAACTAGTGTACTTGTTCATGTCTTAGATCGATCACGGCTGGCGACGTGAACGTGTTTTTCCAACGTAGCAACACAGCATGGCTGACTTTTGGCATAGAAACTGCGAAGTTAATTTGAAGAGACGAAGGTTATGTTCAAAATCGATCGATGGTATTAGTATTATAAATGTGTCAAACACTTGTTTGAGCCCAGACTGTGTGAAAAACAAATCACATCAGAACCAAGTTTGTGCCAAAGAAATTAGTCCGTGATTTGATTGCGGGCGGAATATTGCCGGGTTAGCTACGCCGAAGGTGAATTCTCTCATGGGATTCACAGCTGGAGTCTTTGGCAAGCCAAAGCGTGACCGGCAAGGGCGCTGGGCGGTGTTTGAAAACCGCTTCTATAATGCTTCGGAACATAAGCTCTTTTGACGGGATCAGATACATCCAAAAAGTGTAATACTCTTCGATGCCTCTGCTACAAACAAGGTGTGTGTGATTTGGAAGAAGAGTTTTGATTCAGATCTCCCGAGGTGAACTGCCAATGGTTCTCCGACAAGGATGTTGGCTTTTAGTTCTCACAATTTAACCTGAAAAAACCTCCGCCACGGGAAGGTGGTGAGCAGGGCTTCGGTAAATCCAAGGAAGGGGTGAACAGTTGCAAACCCAGACACATACCTACCCATAATGAGGCTTCCGGAGGCGCCAATTAATGGCAGAATAAATATTCCTTTGATCACTTCCACCTACCAACGGCACTGACGGTTGTGTTTCGATATGTACACCCGTTAGTAGAATCCTGAAGTACGATTGCCATCCACAATTGCCCTGATCTCAGCTTCATCCTGTTGTTGAACAACGCTCAAGTAAATTGTGCTACAATCAGCGAAAGATTGAAAGTGTCCTCATTTTCGATAACGCGTATAAAAGGTGTACAATCTAATACAGCTAATACCAGAACATTCCATTTGTTAGCTACCACCGCAGCCTTATTTATGACCCAATCGAAGTTTTCATAACATTGAAATAGAATCACACAGCATAGTGTCCGAACGATGCACTACAATGGTTCAAAGGAACAACAAAAACGATTCACCAAGACCAACAGTCAGAGACTGTGTACCTCATGGTACTGAGGAATATTTCCCCTCGAAGTTTGACCCCTTATGATCGCCACTGTAGAACATGCAACAAATTGCCCTCATGAACTGGTCTGCATTTTGATAATGGGCTTTCACAAGAACTAGAAGTATCCTAAAATCTTGTTTTGAATGTTGCACAATGTACCTGAATGTGGTTCTATGGGAGGTAGAGGAGATAGACTGAAAACCTCATCTGCGATTTGGGGCATCAGATCATGTAGCAAGTGAAGTTCAGTTTAGCTGATGATGGCAATGACGATAGCAACGATGGTGGATTAACATGATAAAAGGGTCGTTACGAGTGTGGTAGTATAAAACCAAGTATATCCAGAGAGGTAGGATATCCGCCTACGCAAATACTCGTTCGAATTGCCTAGCCGTGAGAGGTTGGAGAGAAGACACAATGCTACAGTTGTTTGTGCCTCACAATCGCCCAGTTTGGAAATATCAACGGATGACCTGCTGACAGGATAAAAGCGTTTATTGTTTCTCTCAACCATGTCAAAATCGTTATCACTTCAGCCCGTCGGACATTTCGACCAACAGCATATTTCAATCCCGACAGAACCGTAAAATCAATGACGAGCGTTTGTTAAACTTTACGTCTGGTGTCCAGTACATAGTCCATTGTCATCACAGAAAACACGTCAAATTCCTCGTCGAAGGTTACATCAAAAATCTCACATGTTCTGAGTATCAGTATCTCCATGTTGTACATATTGTTCACTATAATGACGTGTTCAGAAGCGCCCGAAAACTGGCCACTACCATCCCGAGTAGCGTAATAAAACCTAGTATAATCACTGCATCATCGCACGCTGAAGACAAGAGCATAGTACGTTCGAAAGTAACCTAATTGGACTGACGATTGGAAAGAAATTCCATGTAATCACATAAATGCATGAGCGTTCACGTTCGTGAAACTATCCAGTCATTAGAACACGAACAGAATAATCTGTTAGCAACCTGCTACCATAACAACTCTCGATCAATGCGAAATCCGTATACCTGATTATTCCCGGATAACGTTTCACCTCTGCGATATCCCTCGGGCATTAGTGTATCGGTCGCATTTACCACAATGGTTTAGTCGCAGTCGCCGATGTGCTTTCGACTCTATGATCTCATGTTTGAGCCAACCATAGCCAAGCAACTCTGTTGGCAGATGTCGTTCCTGTCGTCCTGTTCAACACTATGCCTAACCTGGAGGGGCCTATGGGGTCCTGCGATTTAAGTTACCGGTTTACATGATGGCACAGTAAGTCCTACTCCCCGTCAGCTGATCATCACACTACGATGATAAACAAAACAAAATAACCGCAAGGTCGACTGAACACCAAACCAACTTCAATCACAAAACAAAACGGCTCCCACAAAGGGTCATACACGTTTTATTCTGAAATACAATCGAGATATTTAAAAATCATCATCCTGTGCACTATCCAATCCAACTTCTTCATAATCTTTCTCTAATGAAGCCAGGTCTTCACGTGCTTCGGAAAACTCACCCTCTTCCATTCCTTCACCCACATACCAGTGCACAAACGCCCGCTTCGCATACATCAGATCGAATTTTCGATCCAAACGCGCCCAGGCTTCCGCGATTGCTGTCGTGTTGCTCAGCATACACACAGCTCGTTGCACTTTCGCAAGATCACCACCAGGCACCACAGCCGGGGCCTGTGAGTTCAGACCAACCTTGAAACCAGTTGGACACCAGTCAACAAATTGAACCGACTTGCGTGTTTTGATTTGCGAGATCGCTGCGTTCACATCTTTCGGTATGACATCGCCTCGGTAAAGCAAACAACAAGCCATATACTTCCCGTTGCGCGGATCGCATTTCACCATCTGGTTGGCCGGGTCGAAACAAGCAAAGGTGATTTCGTTCACACTAAATTGTTCGTGGAACGCTCGATCGGCGGAGATTATTGGTGCGTAAGTGGACAGAGGGAAGTGAATTCGTGGGTACGGGACCAGATTGGTTTGGAACTCGTTCAGATCCACATTCAGCGCACCGTCAAATCGAAGTGAAGCTGTCACTGAGCTAACCACCTGACTGATCAGCCTATTCAACGAGGCGTATGACGGACGATCGACGGACAGACTGCGACGGCAGATCTCGTAAATTGCCTCGTTATCCACCATGAATGTGCAATCCGTGTGCTCTAACGTGGTGTGCGTCGTCAAGATGGAGTTGTATGGTTCGACCACCGCGGTCGAAATGTTGGGAGCCGGATAGATGGCGAATTCCAGCTTCACCTTCTTCCCATACTCCACCGTCAAGCGCTCCATCAGCAATGAGCTAAACCCGGATCCTGTGCCACCTCCGAACGAATGGAACAGCAAGAAACCTTGCAGTCCGGTACAACGATCCGCCAGTTTACGAATGCGATCAATCACTTGATCGATTAGCTCCTTCCCAACAGTGTAGTGACCACGTGCGTAATTGTTGGCTGCGTCTTCTTTGCCTGTGATCATCTGCTCAGGGTGAAACAGTTGTCGATATTGTCCAGTTCGGATCTCGTCTACTACCGATGGCTCCAAATCCACGAACACTGCACGTGGGACGTACTGACCAGCTCCCGTAGAACTGAAAAACGCTGTAAACGAGTCATCCTTCAGCGAATCATCCACCGACTTCCCGTCTGGCGCGATACCGTGCTCAAGACAGTAGAGTTCCCAACACGCATTACCGATTTGCACTCCGGCTTGACCAACATGAATATTGATACATTCGCGCTGAAATAGAGAACAAAAAATGACGGGTACTCAAACAGTATGGGGGTGAAAAAATGTCAGACGATATTCCTCATCAGAGCCGTAACCCACTGCCGATATCAACCCTTAAACCCATGGGGAGAAAATTGCAATCGACAACCAAGGCATAATGGAGATTCTGTAGAATTCTAGAGACTGTCGCATTGCCAGCCTTGATACAGTTGCAGTTTGATCGGCCGTCCTCGCATAGTTGCGGTTCCCTCCGACAGACAATCTAGAAATAGGATTTCTTCACATTAATCACCAGTAGATGAATCCAACTAGTAGAAGGAACCCCACACATTCAGAAACGTGAACAGCGAAAGATATGCATCTAAAACCCGAATGTTACTGTTTTTAACACCTTGAAACGTATTGTTCCGCATTGCAATTAAATTTAAGATGGACACATTTTTTGTTGGAAATGATGTGGAATGGGTTGCAACTAGGAATGCGGATGCCTGTTTTCTCCGAGCTAGAAGTGTTGCCCTCAGACGTTTCGTAGTCTGGCTTTGCAACATCATCAGTGCAACTTCAGGGAAGCCTAGTCTGACTATGAGACGCCTGCGAGCAAAACTTCCAGCTCGGAGAACACACTAACATACACAATTATTGTACCAAGATAATTAACAGCCCATGAACGAACTGGACAGTCGCCATCGGTTCAAGCCACTAGTCGCCAAGCGTATCACTTACAGACAGACTTTCGTCGACCGTGTCTCAAGGGTTTTGAACTGAAATGCTTCAATGTTTGCAATAGATACACAATACAATGTTTTTCTAACACAAACAGAATCAGATTGGATCAAATGGTAAAGCTATCCTAGTGTGGATCCTGTGGAGAAACGACATTAGATTACGACAGCTTACTATCAACACAAGCAACACCTCATGCTGTGATCACGTTGGAATGAATCAGTCCTCCATTAGTGTGTGCGGTCAGATAAAAGTTTATCGACGAGCACCATTGACTACGCCAACAACAATAGCGATTTGGCGGCGCCCATTTTTGCATCAAATAACCAACCATGACTAGATTTTCTGCATTAAAATTGTACCCTGAAATCACATATGAACTATTGAAATGGGGTAAAAGTCGATAAACACAATAAGCAGTTCATATACGAAATGCACACATTTCATGGAACTCACCATGTTGTGACGCAGGTAAGAGGAGCGAGCAGACCACGGGTGAGCCAACTGTGCAATGTCGTCCCAGTTCTGCCCTGATC